TTTTTTCAGTTTAATAATTTTGCTGGGATTCGTTTTGTTTTACTTACGATTTAGTTTGTCATTTGCTGCAAATTGTGTTTTTACAGTTCGCATCGATAATATTGTTTTAAAGTCGATTAAAAAACCATTTCTTAATTTCTTTTAAAATGATAAACTTTTAATTTTCCCATATTATTTTTACATATTTAACTTTTACTCCGATGACTCGTCGTACTGCTCTGCTCTGTAGACTCAGTTGTGTTCGTAGGCGTTTTAATGGCCCCTTTGTTTATTTGGCAACACTCGGTGCCAAGTTAATGAATGATTTTTTTTCAATTTTTACTTTTATCTCAAGTTTTTTTTCTAAAATTTTTATGAATGAACTGTTTGAATTATATCAAGAGGAAATACCTTTACTGTATGACTAAGACCAATGCGACTATCAGACAGTTTAACAGGTTAAAACAAACCGCTTCACACTAAGTGTGTTGCAAAAATATTATTACTTATAAATGGAAATAAATACACAAATTAATTAATATACAAATTTATATGTATAATAAAAATTTTTATAACTGAATAATATTATCACATTGTTAATAAATTAATTATTAATATGTATAGGAATTAAGTCTACTCTATAGTATAAATAATAAATAACTCATTAAGTTTAAAGGTGGGAATTTCTCTACATCTGCTAATATTTTTTAATATTAAAAACAACAATTTTTAATTGGTAAGAATTATATTTAAATATGCAAAGGCCAGTAGAAGCAGACATACAGATGACGAAAGATTAAGATAGTTTCACGCTCATACCGCTCATAATTATGAAACCGTGTTATGCAGACAGTCAAATCCTAATTTATAATTACGTACTGTTTTCATTAGTTTCATATTTTCTGGATGTGCCTTAATTTATAAGGTAACATATTTTGTCTGTATACCATATGTTCATATGTCCACCTAAAAATACACATATTTGTTTCTATTTGGAAACTCTGACATATAATGGTAACATTATTGTGACTTACTTAAGGTGGAACAGGAAATCAAAGTGATCAAAGTTTAATCGAATTGTTTCTCTAAGTTTCAATATCAAATTTTTAATTTACAATAAAAGCAGCAAAAGCTTAGGTATGAATTAGTATGTGATACTCTATGTAGACTATGTATAACGATCTGAGTTCCCAAAATGGAAAGCGCTGTGAACATAACACATTCCTTGTGCTAATAAATTACTCTAATCGAACAGAAGACACTTCGCACTTCGAATAAAAAGAAAAATATCTTCTGTTGACAATTTTTTAGTATGAAATGGGTATAGAAGATTTCATCCTTATATTCTCTTTCTGGCTTAGATTAAAATCAGACATTTAGATAAAATGTGACTATAAATAAATTTCCAAGCAGAGCAGACATTTCATAACGCAGACATTTATAACGCAGTCAATATTATCCCTATAGACAACATACCAACTATCTCCATAATGTTGTTATATGGATGAAGCAGTTCTATCCTTCAGATAGACTTCCTTCTGTTGAGATCAACTTTTCTATCAGAGATTAAGTTGCGGTGTATCTTATTCCTATAGGTCCGTTGCTACAACTTTTTTATTTATTTGTTCTTATATAAATAGAGTTTTTGTGATGTGCATATCGTTTCATTTCAGATATATCAATTGAATTGAATTTTGAGATACTTTCTGTGGCTTTCGATGTCAGTATCTAAAAGTTCTTTGGAATTATCGAGAAGAGGTTTCACAAGAGTTGAGTCCCCGCTGTTTGCTAGGGCAAAACATTCACTCAATCGGTAAAAGCTTGATAAATTTTCTTCATTTTCTTGACTGTATCCACAAATATGGTTAATTAAAAATCCAAGTTTGAGTGCAACCAGTTATTGTGATTACATGAAAAAATATTCTTAATTTGGTGTTAATTAAATCAATTCCTTTTCTAGTATTAGTTGCATTTATAGATGGGCAGTTTTATGTATTTATGGCGTCTGTTATTTCAGTTTATTTATCATGTTGGAAAATTGTAATATGAATGTCATTTTATTTCTGCTCAAATATTTTAAGTTTAAATATAGGTTATGAGAAGCCATGTAGGACAACATCTAGCTATATCGGGTGTAATCAAAAACTAACAAGAATTTTGTAATGACGCCGATTCTAATATATTTATCGGTCTTTATTATGTATTGGTTGTGTTGGAAGAAACGTGGCATGGGAAGTATCAGTTAGCTATGTTGCTTCGTTTGTATTTTAATTTCAGTAGGGGTACCAGTATGTAGGGTACCACATAAGTCTTTATTATGTTAATTTTTGGATTATAATACTAAGTGTTTATGGCACACGACTTGCCGTTTACAGCTACGTTATTATTATTATTATTTTTATTTATATTAAGTATCGTGTCAAAATGTAGGTGTGATGTAAATTCATCATTTAGACTTTTGTCTGTTGTTGATGGAAAAATATGCCAAAAACATTAATAAAATAAAATTAAATAAAATGAAAGAAAATAATATAATAAAAAATAGTTTCAATTGTTATTTATTGCAAAAGATTATGTGTTCAAAATTAAATATTAAAAAAATTCGTTCCTGCAAACTCATATAAGCAATTCAATACTAGGAATTAAACTTGACTCATCCGTTGACCAACGATGAAAGTTGAAATAATAGCGTAAATAAAATGGATTTAGTGAGTACAATTTTAATTGAATTTTAAAATAAATATTTTAGTTAGTAAGAAATTCAAATATAATAATTTGTTAAGCTTTTTTTTAAAATTTAATGAAATCAATTAGTAAATTTATTGAAGAATTTTTAAATAATAAATATTTTGAATTGGAACGGTTTTAAGTTTTTTCTTCTATGGAATATATAATCATTAAATCGATTTTATTATTTCTGCCAAAATGCTATGTGAACAGTCATAACAGAATAAGTAAATTAATATAAAGTAAGTAATATTATTTCAAAAATAATATTATTCGCCAAATTTAAATTAGATATCAGTATTAAAATTCAATTATTAGAATAATTCTAAAATAATAAAATATAAATTATAAAAAAGTAAATCTTAACATATCTTAATTTGGTTTAGCAAAATGTGTATAAAATATTTTAATATTATTTTTTTTCTTATAAATTTGGTTTTAGATTCAATATAAATAACTTTTTTCACGCCAAATAAATTGTCAAATTCATTATTTTTGGAAGTGACAAACTTGTATCTTTTTTATTCTAAAAATGCTACTGAATATTTTATATTCTATAGAAGAACTTTGTTCTGAATACTTCGTTATCGAAAACTATATGTGTTTTATCTTTTTTAATTTAAATATCTGTGACATTGTGTGCATCAATATGTTTAATTCTGTTGAGATTTGCCTTCTGCACAAATCATTCTAAATATTTATCTTAGAAGTTTCTCAAATTGAAAAGCAAAATTCTAGCTAATCTGATTTCGACTTTATTATGTTGCAGATGTTTCATTTAAGAACTTTTATATAATTTTTTATAAAGATTTTGGACCATTGAATATTTGTATGTATAATTTATGGCTTGACTTATTCATTTATCTTCTGCGTTTGTGGATATAAATATTGAGAAAATCAATTTTTTTCTTTTAAAACTTTTTTTTGTTGATATTTAAAAATTAAAATTTTCTAAGAATTAATAAAATAAAATGCACATATGTGTGTAATTTAAAAAAAAATGTAATATGACTAAATAACTGATTTTATAGCAACTTCAAATAAAAGTTGGAACACAATAATATAATTGATGTTAATATATTTTAGTTTAAGATATTAGTTACTAAAATAAAGAATTTACAATCCATTAACATTTATTTTATTATAAATTAAATTTAACAGAAACATAAATTTTAATAGCCATAGCTAATAACCCTTTTAGAGAAGGTGAAAAAAGAACATAAAGTGAGGCAATAAAAATACCTTTATTTTCAAAAAAAAAAAAATTAATTATATTTGTTAAACATTTGTTCAATAGGATTTAAAAAACTTAATTATTTAAGCCAGAATTTTACATTAGAGAGAATATTTTCTTTATCGTTGCTAATACCTTAAACTGTAAGTAAACAGAATTATGTTGACAAAAATTCATTTATTTTATATCGAATTTGTTATTAATTCATTGTGTAAGTAACTTTCTTGAATTTACTTATTGTGGACTTGTTTTACTTAATTAATAAAATATCCAGATTTGTGAATAAGAACATTTATAGGTTTATTAAAAAAATGACAACTATAATTATTATACAATATAAAAAAGGCAGCACACAAGCAAAAACGTTCGACTTCTATCTTCTTAACAACCCGAACCTACTGGGAAAGAAACACGTCACAGTAGTAACACAAAAATTGAACCTTTTGTGCTTCGTGTTATTGAGGTTACCACCTTTCTTGTCCATGCCGCCCCCGAATGCTGCATCCAGCATGATAACTCATTTGGTGTTAATCATTGGTGTTAGGAGCTGTGTCGGTGCCGTAGCTAGGAATAGGAAGCCGACAGAGCTTTGAAATTGAACGTTTGTATACGCCATGTTTAGTTTTAATGGTAACTACTCTTGTCAGTCCATCAGCACCAGGATGGAGTGCTATGATTCGACCTAGAACCCATTCATGCGGTGGAGAGTGGTCATCCTTGACAATGACAAGTTCGTTCAATCGTAGATTTGGAGTTTCACTTCTCCATTTTGGACGTGTTTGTAAATGAGACAGCCAGTCGGATTTCCATCGAGCCCAGAAACTACGTGCCATACGTTGCAAAACAATATATTGATGTTGAAGTGATTGATGTTTTGTAATACCATCCGGTGGCGTTAAGAATGTATCACCTATTAGAAAGTGAGCCGGCGTCAATACTACCAAGTCTTCTGGATCCGAGTTGAGTTGACACAGAGGTCTAGAGTTCAGACATGCTTCAATTTGGACCAAAACCGTTGATAATTCTTCATATGTTAGGCATGTGTTAACTGTACGCCGAAGATGATGTTTTACGGATTTAACATTGGCTTCCCATAGTCCGCCGAAATTTGGTGATAATGGAGGATTAAAATGCCATTGGATTTGCCGATTGGTTAAATAGGGGACAATGTCGCGCTCTATATCTGACCTCCATTGTTGTTGTTTGGTTTGAAGCACCCGGTTTGCTCCGACAAAGTTGGTACCACAATCGCTATATATGTCATTACAAATTCCACGACGCCCTATAAAACGTTGTAATGCCCAAAGAAAATGGTCGGTATCAAGGCCGGTTACCGCTTCTAAGTGAATAGCCTTGGTTGCTAAACAAATAAATATGGCGATATACCCTTTATATTTAGTGTTTCCTCTGAATCGTGATGACTTTAATTCTATAGCTCCGGTGTAATCGACGCCTGTCGCTAAAAAAGGCCGAGATGGGGGATTTACACGATGAAACGGTAAATCACCCATTAGTTGATTTTCTGGCTTAGACTTACATCGGAAGCATGTAACACATCGGTGAATATGCTGTTTTATCACCTGTCGTGCATTCACAATCCAAAACCGGTGTCGTAAATATGACAATGTTAGTTGAATACCACCATGCAGGGTTATATGATGAGCGTGTTTAATGATTAATTCGGTGACATAGTGAGCCTTTGGAAGAATGATAGGATATGTTCTGTTGAACGGTAAATTTGCATTTGCAAGTCTGCCACGAATTCTCAAAATATCGTCTTCATCTTGCCAGGGCACTAAATTGCGTAATTTACTATGAGATGGTAAAGGCCGAGATGCTTTAATTGATTTAATTTCTTCATGGAACACTTCTTGTTGTACATTTCGTATAATGATAGTTCGGCTGAATTGTAATTCAGTAACGGACAGTGGACCGTGCTTTGGTTGATTACTATTTTGTTTTCGAGCATTAAACGTAAAACGTAAAAGATAAGCAACTACACGTTGAAGTTTTGAAAATGATGAAAACTTAGTAAGTAGCGAGTTTTGTATCGTACTGATGTTGGCCCGTATGGGTGACCTTTTTAGTTCAAGATCTGCTGCTTGAATGTTGTTATTTAAAACGTAGGTTGGCCAGGCTTCTTCTGGAAGTTGTAACCATTTTGGACCATTCCACCATAAATCGAAGTCATTTAACTGGTGAACGGTGAGCCCCCTTGTGGCGCAGTCCGCTGGATTCTCAAACGTGTTCACATAATACCATTGCGATGCAGAAGTCACTCTAAGAATTTGTCCCACTCTATTACTTACAGCCGTTTTCCAACGATGCGGATCACCCTTTATCCAGTGAAGAACCACTTGTGCATCTGTCCAGTAGTACTGGGATACATTATTGGTAAGAATAGATGTATGTTTTATTACCCAGGCAGTTAATTGTGTTGCCAATACCGCACCGCAAAGTTCAACTCTTGGAATAGTTAAGGGTTTCATAGGAGTGCTACGACTTTTAGACATCACTAAGCGTGTAAGAATTTTGCCGTCGCAAAATTGTATTCTAAAATATATACTAGTTGCAAAAGCCTTCGACGAGCCATCACAAAATGTATGTATTTGGAGCGAAACAACTTGTGACGAATGATACCCCAGCCATCTTGGTATAGTTATGGTTTTTAAGTTTTGTAACTCCATAAGAAATCCTTGCCATTGGTTTTCAAGATCGAACGGTAATGGATCATCCCAGTCCAACGGTACTAACTTTTGATCATCAGTTAAATGTTGATAAGAACACACTGCCTTGAAAATTATTTTTCCTGTTACCAATATTGGGTTGAGGAGTCCTAACGGATCAAATAGTCGTGCGATGGTAGACAATACTTTTCGCTTAGTGAATTGACTGCAGGCTAGGATATTCCAATTGAATTTGAATTCATCACCGCTGTTATGCCACCACATGCCTAATGTTTTAATGGTAACGTCTTGATTTAATTGTACTGCTTTCGTATTCGATAATTGATTTTCATGCAGGCCTTGAAGAATGCGTAGATCATTGCTACAAAACTTACGCAGATGCATTCCAGCTGATTTTAATGCTGCGATAACCTCATCACGAACTTTCACTGCCATATCCAATGAATCGTTGCTATAAAGTATATCATCAACATAAATATTTGATTTTAACACTGATTCTGCTAACGGAAATCGTGACTTCTCGTCTTCGGCGATTTGCTGAATTACTCGGATAGCAGTATACGGCGCAGAGGCAGTACCGAACGTTACGGTATTCAGACAATACTCCTGAATCAGGCCGTCATTATTTCGCCACAGAATTCGCTGAAATTGTGCGTCATCTGGATGCATGCTGATGCATCTATACATTTTTTCAATGTCTGCTACAAAGACATATTGATGTAGTCTCCAATTTATCAAAACTGCTGCCAAATCGTTCTGTAGTTTAGGACCCACGCATAGAATGTTGTTTAATGATTTGCCGTTTGATGTTTTACATGATGCATCAAAAACAATTCTCAATTTTGTTGTGAGGCTTTCTTCTTTCAAAACTGCATGATGAGGCAGTACATAAGAGTTATTTATTGGTACGTAATTTTGATTCAATTTGCACCGTTGTTGTTCAGTAGAATATGCACGGGTAGCGTGTCCCAAGCTGAAATATTCGTTAATCACCTGATGGTACTGTTCTTGCAAATCACTATTGCGTGCGAGCTTACGCTCCAAATTTAAAAGACGGTTTAATGCAATCTGCCTAGACCGACCGAGAATTTGTGTCGGATCAAAATGTGACTTCAGTGGTAAACGTACCATATAGCAACCATTTTGTAATCGAGAATGAGTTTTAATGAAGAAATCTTCGCACCACTGTTCTTCAGAAGAGAGTTCACGATTGGGAATTACCTGATCCTGCTCAAAATAATTTTTTACTAAATTGTCCAATTCATGTGAGGTATGATGGCACCGTATCATTTGCAACTTTGGCAAAGCTGGCCCAATATTTCCAGAAATAATCCACCCTAAATGAGTTTGCTGCGCTATTGGTTGGTTGGACGCCCCAATTCGTAGTCCTGCTAGTATCAACTGTGCATATACATCAGCACCAAGAATTAAATCAATTTTTCCTGGTTTAAAGTAAGTTGGATCAGCTAAACGTAACCCGTTTAAATGTGGCAAATTCTGTATACAAATAGAGTGACCTGGAATAAGACTTGTTAGCGATTTTAAAACATATGCGCGCTTAATAACTAATTGGAAATCCGAATGTAATAGTGAGTTTATAACAAACGTAACGACAGACTTGGAGCCTTCTGTTGGGCTTTGCCCTACACCAACTATTTCAGTGCGGGTTGGATAACGTTTAAGTCCTAAACCTTGTGTGGCGTGTTCTGATATGAGAGTGCATTCGGAACCCTGGTCGACCAAAGCACGAAGAATGACAGCTTGATTAGAAAGTTCGTTCTTTACTGACACTAGAGCGGTAGCCAAGAGGACTCGTTGTTGTTCACCTTCGGTGTAGTCGGCCGTAGTCAAAGGGTAATCGGGCGACAATATTGTGTTGCTTTGCAAAAACGGTGTACCATTAAACGTTTGTGGCGATGGGACGTTATGCTGTTGTCTGTCAACCTTGTTGGACAAGTTGTGTGAAGCGATGTCAACATTGCTGTTTGGTTTTGCAGAGTTTTCTAATGGCGGAAAATGCAGGAGTGTATGATGACGCTGCCCACATTGTTGACAGTTTTTAGTACTAGGACACTGTGAAACTGTATGGGATCTGCATAAACAATTTAAACATAGCTTCAGTCGAGACGCGATGGACTTCCGTTCGAAGCAATCCTTAGTGAGAAATTGATGACATCGACGAATTACATGGTTATTTTGACATAATGGACATAGCGACGTGTTGAGAGCCGAATGGTGTGATTTTTTGTGTTGGCGTTTGGACTGTAAGGAGTTTCGAAATGGTTGTATATTTGCGTTAGGCGTGATATCGATAGATGCATCGCGACTCTCAAGAACATCCACCGTTACTGCTCTATCATTCAGGAAAGATTCCAATGTGGCAAAGGTGGGAATGGTGGAGTTGCTTCCAAGATGGAGTTCCCATGCCTTTCGTGTTTCTTTGCACAGTTTCGTTGAAATGTAATAGGCTAACCAATGATCACTACCAGTGATTGGAATCTTCAGTCTGGCAAATTCGTGTACGCATACCTTAGCTGTATTTAGGAGTAATTTTATGTCAGCCGCTCGTTCCAGTAATTGGCTAGGAATGCTGAATAAATCTTTCATAACATGCATAAATAAAATTCGGGGATTATTGTATCGAGTCACCACTAGTTCCCATGCAATGGGATAATTAGCTTCTGTCAGCTGCATGTTGTGAATATCTAAATCATTGTCGTCTGGGAGCGCCTTTTTTAGAAAGTGGAACTTCTGAATTAAACTTATCTCTTTGTTAGTATGAATTAACCGTTCAAATGCATCGTGGAACGCAGGCCAGTCGGTACATTTTCCAGAGAAGGTGGGCACAGGAAGAGTAGGTAGTTTTATGTGTGCTACTGGTTCTGGCATCGGGATAATTACTGGTGCTGATTGTGGTGGAGGATATACCTTTTCGAAGCTCTCTTGTATAGTGCAGAAAGCCTCTAAATGAGCTTCGTCGAAATTCTCACTTACACATTTCACAAAATATTCGGATGTTCGATCTTTGCTACTACTTACTATTGCTTCATGAGTAACTTCAAACTGGTCTCGTAAATCCTTCAACTTCTGCAATCTTTGTTGGTTATAGATGTTCGTCTTCCGGACCACGCTATCCTTCTTGAAGTTTTTTAGTAGTGTCTGTACCGCTATTACTCGGTCATCCTGCATTACCTTCCAATTATTTTCTTTCTTTTCTGTGGTCATTGTCTTGAGTTTATTAAAATGCACTTTTCTGAATTTGTCTTAATTTCAGTGAACTTGAACACCTTTGTTGTTTGTAGTTGCGTAGAAACGGCACAGTTTTTTTTTTAGGCTAATTTTCGTGTTGATATCTTGTTAGTAATGTTTTATGCGATTTCATTCCTCGAACAGCAATCACGTGGCAATTGGTTAAAATTACAGCCGACAATTGTAAATGCAACTTATAAAATGTTCTTTTCCTTCGATGTTCCCCCCATGGGCCACCAAATATGTGTAAGTAACTTTCTTGAATTTACTTATTGTGGACTTGTTTTACTTAATTAATAAAATATCCAGATTTGTGAATAAGAACATTTATAGGTTTATTAAAAAAATGACAACTATAATTATTATACAATATAAAAAAGGCAGCACACAAGCAAAAACGTTCGACTTCTATCTTCTTAACAACCCGAACCTACTGGGAAAGAAACACGTCACAGTAGTAACACAAAAATTGAACCTTTTGTGCTTCGTGTTATTGAGGTTACCACCTTTCTTGTCCATTCATATTTAAAGGTACATATACATTTACGCATTAAAACTACTATAACCATTAACAAAAATAACAGCAACTGCAGCACTACTGATATTTGTTAGTTCTCAGGGAACTCTATGTTTTCACACATGTATAGTCAGACTATAACATTAGTACCAGCAACAGTAGTACAAAGTACAAGGAAAAGTGCTGAAGCTTTGTTGGATCGCGCAATTAAAGAAGAAAATTCGGGAAGAACTCGCTTTAGAACTCACTTCACACGACACAAGTTAATGTTTATTAACTGACATAAGTTGTTGCTTTTATACAGCACTTTCTTGTTTTGAAACTAACTTACAACCTTATTACAGTAACGAGGTAAGAAAACCTTTATTGTGGTGTCAAAAATATTTCTTTTTCTACTTCTTATTAATTAGCATTATGGCGGCTCTTTTAGAAGGTACTTATAAGCCCTGTTCCTTAATATCATTGTGGTGCAAATCATAATGTGATGAATGTATACCTAAGACTTCTCAGCATAAAAAATTTTAGGTTTGTCGTGTGAAGAGTGCAAGAGTATAAATAAAACGTATTTTGTTATAGCAAGCGTGTGACCATGTCAACCAAAAATAAACTACTGTTGTAGAAACAGTTTCTAAAATCGATCTATATATATGGCATAAAACTACGGAAGTGTGGTTATCAAACAGCTTAGCCATAATGCGGGATTGGCATAAATAAGCTTTTCTAAAAGAAAGTCTTTCAATAGATAGTTGTCAGCGATAGATATCAAAGGTAGTGATTTAGGCATTCCGTATATTACTATCATTTTGGCGAAATAATTTTTCAAACTCACTAACAATGACTTTTATGCCATGTCAACAATATACTACTTCAAGGCTTTACTTGGCAGTGGCTTAATAAAATACGACCTAAAAATTTTAAGCACCCAGTAATAGGACTTGCTATTAATTTATTCATTATATGAACTACACGTAGTTTTATTACTTTTCCCTGTTGTTTTTTTGGTCCAAAATATAAAAAAAATCATAAGATTATTAATTTAGGATACGAACTGATTCTTTGGCTGTATTTCTTTTTTAGGTAAATCTTTGCTTGTCATCACGTACTTTGGTCAATACTAGAAACGTAATTTATTTCAGTTCCATTTCTTTTATTTTTTTTTGGAATCAAGAAATCTTCTCCTGCATTTATACCGTTCACTTTAACGAGAAACACCAAATAAAGTCAGATTTTGAAGAATTATTGAGGCTCTATCCTATTCCCCCACTGGAGAAAGTGGATAGTAGTAGTGAGTCGGAAACACACTGTATATGTACATATATATGAAGACGAAAAGAATATTAATTCTAAATAAGTATGCATATATCTATACATAAAACAGAACCAATATAGTATTTTTTTCCATATCTATTCAATTTCTATTTTTCTTTTTCCAGAAGTTGACACCATCTGAACCTTGTAGAGAAGCTAATACTTATTTTGCACAGAATAAAAAAATTATTATAGAAAACGATTTATATTTAATGAGATGGAATATAAAAAAAATTATTGAAAGAATAAAATTTGTGTGGAAATATCTAAAAAGTAATAAAATTCTGAAAGCCACTGAAGAAAGAAATGAGTAAGAGTACTCTGTTGTTCTGTAAATAGAACGACCATTTTCCCTGCATTTTTATTCATAGTTTTCCACAAAACCAAAAACTGCCATTGAAAGTGAAATGAACTTTTGGTTATGAATTTTTCAATAACTTTTTTTTTGTGATTTAACAAAACTAATTTAGTCAGAGTTTCTCCAACCGTTAAAAAATTTTTTTTTAATCAAATTATTTTACGCTCGTGACAATGAACTCTATAAAAAGGCGTAGCAAAAATTTAAATAAAACTAATATTTTCGGATTAGCAATAAATGAATTATTTGGACAATTTTGTTTTGCTTTAATTAGTATACAGGTCATGCTTTATAGAAAAATTAAACATAAATAATATGTCAGAATATAATTCTGCTTCCTTAACAATTTTATAATATGATTTGTTTTTAAATTAACCATTCAAATACCTGATATTGTAGGCATATAATTTTTTACCCTACAATCAGTCTTTTCTAAATCGATATATATATTGAATATAGTACTGAGGAAATATGACATATAATATAATAACATTATATGCAAGGTAATTCATCAAATGGTTTTCATTTTTTAAATACTGTGCAGAAAAAAATATTATAACTTATAAGTAGTAGAAATTAAACAGGTCACCATGCGTTAGCACTTTAACAAAATGGGTCTGTCTGAAGAGATAGATTATCGACTCACATTCTCTGTGACTACCCAGCTTTGATCTGGGCCAGGAGGAGGTCACTGTATCGAGAACTACTCTCCCCTTCTGATATTAAGAGGCTCTCAACAGTCGACATTCTAGCTTTTATTCGGAAGGTGGAATGTCTTCTGTTCAGTTAGGGTTTGTTGCAGCACAAAAGATCAACCATGATTGCAGTGCTCTAGTACTCCGTTTATTTCTATTCCTATTCCTAAGTAATAGAATCAAAGGACAAAAAATAAGGTGTTATTATTGTTATTGGAGAAATCTTGTAAATGAACTATACGAATTATTGAGTTTAGGATAATAAATATTAACGCCATGTATCTACATACAAAATTTTTATATTCCAATATGCCTATAGTTAACAGTGTATATAAGAATTATATATAGTATACACCATTTTTTAATATTACAATTTGACAGCAACATGACTATAACAGTGTATATAAGAATTATGTATACTATATACTAATTTTTAATATTGCAATAGGAGTGCAATATGACTATAACAGTGTATATAAAAATTATGACGTCATAGTTGTTATTAACCTTTCACAATTGAAACAAATAATATTGTAAACATTTTGCCGGATGTAGTAATTATCTGTGCATATATAACCGTGTATGCATTATATTTAGGAAATAATTGTTATTTATTTATTACTAAATAATTAAAAAGAAATTTTAATTCAAACCTCCCGAGCACACGTATCATTTCATATAAATGAGATACTCCGAAATTTTAATGACATTTAAATTTTACTTATGCCCTATTGAATGCTAATGATATAAAAATAACTAATATTTTATAGTTTTTTTTTCATATAAGTGCATATATAACACATGTCTTTTAGCATTTATTGTATTTAACATTCTTTTAAAGTTGGGTATGCGGTTTATTGTGTAGTTGATTGATATAGAATTATGAGTTTAATGATATAAGATATTATCTGCATGTGTGGACATTTTTCATAACTCATCATGAATAAATCATGAGTTTTAGTTTGAATGTTTTTTGGGTTTGTAATTCGTCTTCGATATTAATTATTCAATTGTTTTATATGAAGTTGCCAATAGATGTTCAGAGAGTTTGTAAAAATTTATTAATTGTGGATGTATATTAATTTCAATTTTATAATAGGAATTAAAAATATTCTAAAGAAATGAATAAATGGATACGCATTAAATTCAAAAAAAAAATAATGTAATTATTATTAGTACCTTGATTGTAAATTTTTGATTTTTTAATTAATTAATAAAAACTTTAATTTTGATTTAATTCTTATACACATATGAATGTAATTAAGTTCAATCCGAACGAAATCAGAAACTTGATATATTTGCTATATTTGTTGGTTTTCTTTGCCGAGAAGATATTGATTTGCGAATAAAACAGCATCAGCAGGAACTATTTGATACAAAGGTTTGTTTAAAATGTTTTTAACAAATATTTTGTGTTTTATTTAAAAATTAATATAATACAAATGCTTTATCAGTATTTAAAAAGAAATCGAAAAACCGCTCGTTCGGTTAATAAGTTAAGCCAATATAATATTCAGCTTTAGGCACGTTGGCTTAGTTGTCGAGATTAAATTCGCCTAGCCGAGTTTAAGTTCGCTCAGCTTAGTTTATATTCGCCAAGTTAAGCTTAAATTTGCCAAGTCGAAATTTAATTCGCCTAGGCGAGATTAAATTGGCTTAGGTGAGATTAAATTCGCTTAGGCGAGATTAAATTCGCTTAGGCGAGATTAAATTCGCATAGATGAGATTAAATTTGCCAAGCTGAAATTAAATTCGCATAGCCGAGATTAAATTCGCCTAGCCGAGGTTAAATTCGCCTATCTGAGACGAGGTATAGTGCTACATAATACAGATATAAAGAATATAAGGAATATTTCAGTAGTTAGAAACATAAGAATGGTATAATGGATGATAAATATGAAGTCCGAATTTATGGGAGACAATACTAAGAAATGAGGAATTATGAATATATAATATAATAATTATGCTGCAATCGATAAAATGAATGTATAGATCGGTTATTGTTATAATTTTTAGAATGTCTTCAAAAACTACATATTGGTGTACTTCAAGATATCAGTTACTATTGAAAGCGAAACTAACTTTTTCAACTGTATCA